TCCATCCGAGCGTGCCAGGATGGATATCGGCACCACGGGCACTGGGGCAGAGCTCAGCTACCGGCGTCCAAATTATTCTGCTCCGGACAAACGACATCGCCCACGAGCTGCAGCGCTGCTTGCGCCGAGCGCACAACGGGGAACGCGTCTCGCCTAAGCGGGGACGGAGGCTTAAACAAGCGCAGGATGGTTTTCCGCCTTTTTGATGCCTTCTGATTTCTCCTTCATTAAATGAGGTGGTGGAGAAAAAAAATACGGAAGAGAACAAGCGACCAGAGGAGCGGAAATAGGCTCTTCGTTTTTAAGAACAAAACACCTTTCTAGTAACTCCAGAGACAGAAAAAGAATATTGCTCGGTTTAAAAGGAAAAACAGCCGAAAACTCAAGGACAGTTTGTGCATTTGCCACCTCCAGTAAATGGCTTTGAGATCCCAAGCACACACAGCAGATCCCAACGCGGAGCACGACCACACTGGGAAAATTTGGGTCATCTTGCAGACCCAAACGCTGCCGAGGCGCCTGCTAAAATCTACAGGCTGCTGTTTGCTCCTTCCGTGCATCGTTTTTTGCTCCCTTTGCCCTATTTATTTTCCTCAAAAATATTACCCTTGACAATGGCAGATGTGGGGGGGAATAAAAAGAAAAAATAAAATAAAAGGAATGAAGAAAGGAAGGAAAACCCCACCTACCCAAGAGGTCAAATTCCCCATTCCCAGCACTTTGCCGGCCCTGCAGCAAGGCCGCAGCTGGGATGTGGTCCCTTCCCGCATCCCTCCCGCACGGCGGGAAAATCCCGGGAGCAACTTTGGCCCCGGGCACCGCGGCTGGGGAGTCCTTGGGCACCAGCCACGCGTGTGGCACCCTGTCCCCAAGCTCGCATCGCACTGGAGCGACCGCTGGCATGGCCACAGTCCGCGCTCCCGCTCGGCCCAGGCCCATGTTGGGCATTTGGGAGAACAAAAGAGAAGAGGAGCCCGGCCGGAGCCGGCGGGTAGGAGCAGCGAGCGGGAGCTCTCGAGGGTAGAGGCGGCCTCCCTCTCGCGTCCCCCACAAAAATGCGAGGCAGATAATAAAATCCATATGCAGCAGCGGCGCCGGCGCAGGAGCAGGCAGCGCGCGGCGAGCACAAAAGGCCGGAC